ATTAAATAATAAATATTCATTATTTTGTTACTTATTAACTCTTCTTAATACTCCGATTAAAATAAAAATTTTAGTTATTTATATTATATGACCATTTGAATGGGCCAGTGGTAATAACCACAGCCTACCATTCCACCTAAAATTAATAAACTCTTTCAATTTTCTATCGTACCTTCCTATCTCCATAATTCAGATTTTATTTTTGAGTATAGGGTTATTTCCGTGACCATGTCATGTCTACATCTTTCCTTTATCTACCCCTTACATTTCACATCGTCCTCCCTTTTATATGCACATTGCATTAACATCATGTGGTTGGGAGGGAGATGCTAAGTACCGAAATATTCTTCCTCAGGTAGGGTTATGTATATTGCATCTTTCATCCCTATAATTTTTTTGGGTCATATTTTGCAAGCCTACAAAAGTTTTGTTTTTTATGATGCTATGCCAAATTAAGTTCACTCACTTTTTACCCCCACTACTTGTCCTGTAATATTAAAGAAGAAAACAAATAACTCAAGGTGAAAACCAATTTAAGGCTCTCTCTCATCCCATTTTCTTCTGACCTGATGATCATCACATACACATTCATAATCATGTGGTGCAATTTCGATTTCAATCCAATTTATGTCCTTTTACGGCTGTACGAAATGAGCAACAGACCGAAAGGTTATGCATTAATGGTATCCCAACTAATACCAAGTTAACATAAGAGATTTTAAGTTCAGTGGCAAAAGCTTTTCATTATGTGGTAAAATTTGAAGAGGTGTTACTTTTGTAGGAAAATTATTAACACATACACTTGATTTAATGTATTTTTTGATATCTATTTTAATTTAGTTATTAAAATATAATATAAATATATTTAATTAATTTTTTTTTTAAACAGTGTGAAATCTTTTTTTCTTGAGGGAAGGGAGAATAAGGGACTCGGGATTTGATCCCAAGTCCTTGTAGTCCTACGCACGTCCCTTGCAAGGGGGTGGCCATTTGGCCACCAAATGCGGGACATATATTTAATTTAATTTATTTTTATATTTTTAAGTTTTATTTATATTTAATTTTAAATTAAAAATTAATAATTTTTAATAAATATATTATATGATATGTTGAGTGAAAATCTATACTGATCACTACTTATTTTCGCATAGACTAAGAATACCAAGAAGAAATAATATATCTTTGACGACATGATATATTTCGTTGCTCTAAAAAGTTTCTTGAAGAGCTGAGAACTCCAATAATACAGCGTTGATATGTCGTACAAAAGAAGCTGTCAGGAGGAAAAAAACTCTCAACACAAACACACAGAGCTAAGGGAATATTTTATTCTCTCACTTTCTGGTCAGCCAAACAACATGTAAATTAAACGACTTAAACTGATGTCCTGCAAAAGCATATTTTCTGCACAGGTAACAACAATTGACATTGATGGCCTTAACAGAATAAGAAAATGAGAGTTTTTACAGCTCCTCTTTTTGCCAATTCTCCAAGTTATTACATTTTCCCATCTAGGATTACATGTAAAGGAAAATTAGCTAGCAAATTACTCTGATTGAAAACAGCTCAGGAGGGATAGACAAGGAAGGAGAAGATGAGTTGGGAAGGAACAGGGAGGAAGATTACTTGAACCCTATATCAGAAACTTCTGATAGGAGTTCGCCATACTAGGAAAAAGAAACACAAAAAACAAAGAACGGGTTGTTACAAGGTCAAGAAAAAGGTCTTACAAGGTCAAGAAAAGAAGATCACTAATATGGAAAAAAGGAAGAGGATCAACAAAGGAGACATAAGCTCAGGTAGGATAGCACCAAGTTATCTTGAACACACCACCATATCTGACACCATTACATTCACTGATAGAACTTTGGTTCCGCAGGGAGGATTGCACTTGGTGGCTTTGTTTATGCTCCCCTGCATTGTTCTTTCTTGAAGGTAACCTGCATATATAAATATTAACCAAAAGAACATATACAAGACTAGCAAAAGAGTATATATGCTTTATTTGAGAAAATGAGAAGAAAAAGAAATTTAAGCAAATGGTGTATCCTTAAAAAGATTCAATATACCTATTAGAAGGTTGAGCTTTGATTTCACCTCAAAAGGTTTCTCTCTTTCTTCCATGTTATGGGAGAGAGTGGGGGACTGATGAGAATGATGAGAAGAAGTGAAAGTATGGTGAAATTGAGGGAAGTGCAGAGGTTAATTTATAAATTGAAGAAATAGGAGGAGATTTCATGGGCAGCCTATGGAACTGACAGTGACAGGTCCAAAGCCCAGAAAGAATATGTAAAGGTCAGTACTCAAGGGAGTAACTAATAAAGTAGAGTAAATAAAAAGTTAGGTAATAAGCCAAACTCTGCTTGCTCCTATAAAATTATCACTGTTGTTTCCACATTTTTTGTCTCAATTTCTCTATGTGGCAGCCTTTGGTTTTTGGTCCCTACCCCTCATTTGGGGTCCTCTTCAAATTTCATCATGTCATTGTGCATATGCAATTCATTTCCCATATATAAAACTTGTTCATTAGCTTGGTTGTCATTTAGTTTGAGTCAAAGGTTAGTATATTGCAGAAGCCTGAGTTTGGGCCATAAGATGGGGAAATGGGAATCTAGGTAATTGTAATAAATCTTCAAAAACATTTGATTTTCAAAGAAATGGAGGTTTGATGCTTAAAATAAGTGTTTTTGAGGGGTTGTGGAAATGGAACCTCTGGCATTGTTATCCTATCACAGTCTCCCAAGATATGGTCAAAATAGTGTAATAGTCATCACCTTCCCAAGTCCTTGGCCTGCGTTTATGTTCTATAATTTATGTATATGCTACATATTTTTTGGCCTTGTTTTTCTCTCCAGATTCCACTCCCCTCTCTTTCTAGCCAGTACCATCTCACTTGTGGTTGTAGGGTACCCTCTCTGTTTCTGCCAACCATTAACCTATGATTAAACATAAAACTTGAGTTCACCATGATTGGCTAAACACGAAAGCTCCTTTTGCTCCATGTAACAAGCAGAGGTTGTAGCCTGAGTTCCCACATTCCAATATCACTCTACCCATACAGCTCCATCCCCTGCCCATCTGTTCCACATTTTTGTGATTCACCTGTTGCTGTTAGTGTTCTTTTGGGCCCATCTCTTGCCCTTACTATGCCTGCCCTGCCCCGCCCACATTTACCCCATGTAATTTACACTAACCAAGGGTGCTGTTCTCAACACTATTATTCATCTGATTAGAAAAAACAACTATAAGATCTTTCTGCACCCACTAAACCAAACATGTGGCCTAATTTTTAACCCTAAAGAGGACAATTGAATTACCAATGGACTTTGAAGATGCATGGTGTGTTAAAAAAATATCAGAGGAACTGGATGTGGATGTGACCTGTACATGTGTTATTGAATCATTATTTGGACAGGGAATCAGTACTGAAATACTAGGAGACATCCACTAGTTGCATAATTGGGGAAGCCTGGCTAAAGCAGTGACCTTTAGATGCATGAGGTGACTCACATCAACCAAATCAGGAAACCAATAATGTGTAAAGGGGAGCTTGAGAGTTGAAAGATAAAGATGACAATCCGTACCCATTTCATCTTGCATGTTTATATCCAAAGTGGTGAGAATTGCTGTATACTCTGGTATTTTGGAGAGAGGCCCATTTGGGGAGAAGGGAACAAAAATCTGCGTAGATTCTTTTTTTTTTTTTCTCTTTTTCTAAAGCAAAGGCATTTTATTACCAAGTAACAGGTACTCAAACCCGTAAATTTGCATAGATTAATTGGAACAAAGAGAGAGCAAAAGTGTTTAAATAATTTTGAAAAACTGGTTTTTTTGGTGCTCCGCTTGCACAGCCTGCAATTTCCACGGTTATTTTATTTTATGTAGAAAAAAAAAATTTAAGTTTTTGATTTAATATAATATATTTCGCACTCCGAAACTGCACTTAACCACAAAACAGCAGCTGCTAAGTCCTTACTATTTTAAGGACTTAATTGAATAAGGAGTTAGTGTTTGTTTCATTTTATTTTTAAAAAATTAAGAAAAAAAAATAAAAATTATCTTAATGTATGTTTTAAAAATAAAGTAATTTAATTTTTTTTAATAAAAATTTATTAAAATGATGTAATTTTAAGATGATTTTTCTCCTAATTTTTATGAAGTAAAACTAATAAGCACTATTTTTATTGAATAATTAGTGTTTTATGGATTATATTTTTTTATTTTGATTTTTACACATTTAAAAAGGAATAGTTGATCTTCTCAAAAAAAAAAAAAAGGAATAATTGGAAATGGACCCAACCCATCTATTTTCCAGGCCTAAAAAAGACATGGACCCAACGCAAATTATCCAACCGGTCCAGTTGACGGGTCGGAGCACCAAATCCCTGTTTTCCGGTTCCGAAACCGGAACTGTAACTTCCACCTGTCCCACGCGCTCCCGGTCATCGACCGGGAACGCCGTTACCGTCTGCGTAAACTCCACGGCAGGCACCTCCTCGCAAAGATAGCGTTTCGCTTCCCACTCAATGTCTGCCACGTGGAACGGAATCGCGCTGCCATGTCAGTTCGACACCTTCCTGTAATCATATCCTTTCACTGCTCAGTTTCTCACCGACCAGTCTTTCCACCTCCGATTCTCTTCTGTCTCTGAGCTCTAAGGAATGGAGTTGTTGGCACTCTTCATAACGGCGACGAAACTCGCCGGCGTCTTGGTAACCGTGACTGTCGCTGCCAACGGTTTCTCTTTCTCCCGTTACCGCAGAAAGCATCTTCGCCCATTCAAATCTCCCATCGATGAATCCTCCGACACACTCGCCGTTTTCAATATCAATGGTAACTCTCGCCGTTCTCAGCTCAGTTTCTCTAGTAAAAAGTTAGATAAGCAAGAAATCAGTTATATGTTCCATTTGTGGATTTTACAAGTAAAAAGGGAGTTTTTAATACCATGTTGTTAGGCATGCTTAGACTTATATATGAATTATCTACAAAGGGACTTGAAGATTTGTCTTTAGTTTCTAACTTCATCTATGTGTATGTGGAACCATGGCTGGGATTGTTAATAAGTTGGATGCTAAATGCTCGAAAATTGAGCCCCAGAAGTTGGAGGATTGACTTTCTAATTTTAACTGTCTACGGTGATGCAAACATATCGGAGAGAAATGCAAATTCTGTGAAGAAATTCATAATTGTTTGGTGGACACAAAGGACTTTAAATTCCAGCATGGTGTTTTTGTTTTTTTGATTCTTGATTTTGTGACTGGTGCCTTCATGGCATGAGGTGTTTTTCTGTGCAAATGAAATGTTAATTGGAGTGGTGTGTGATGTTTTCAGCAGCGGGGGAAGATGGGTTTTTCTTTGGATTGGCAACAGCACCCGCACATGTTGAAGACAGGCTGAATGATGCCTGGCTTCAGTTTGCAGAAGAACACCCTTGTGACAATTCAGAATCACAGCAGGGTCTGATCCCTGTAGATGCAGTAGTTGGTTCTGCTGCTGCTGATGGTGGTTCTCATCCAGCTCAATTAAGTGGAAAAGAGGCTAGGAAAACAACTAGGAAGAAGAAGAAGAAGAAGCCTCTTAAGGTATCTATGGAAGCCATGATAAGAGGGTTTCAGAAGTTTGAAGAAGAAGAAGTTGAAGAAGAAGTTCCTGAACCAAATGAGGAATGTCATCACAGTGTTGCTGCATGGCACAATGTTCCCCATCCGTAAGCTTTGCTATATAATGTGATACCTTGATTTACAAGCTGGTCCTTGGTAAATGGAAGATGAATCTTCCTCCTCCCTTCTGAAGATCTTTTTGGTTAATCATGGTATTTATCAAACTCAAGCTATAATGGTATTTACTGGAGAACTTGGTTGCTTCATTTCATTTCAGGGAGGAGAGGGTAAGATTCTGGTCTGATCCTGATACAGAGCTGAAGCTGGCTAAAGAAACTGGTATTAGTGTCTTCAGAATGGGAATAGATTGGTCTCGAATCATGCCAGAAGAGCCCGTTAATGGGCTCAAGGATACTGTAAGTTTGATGTAACTTTATCAGATTCTGGAATGCCTTTGATTTTTCATGATTACATTTTTTTTTTTTCCAAACACTCAACATGTATTGGATATGTTACCAAGTTGAACTGCTCCTTTCATGATCAAACATATCTGATTAGATAGAGATGAGAAGGAAGAAAGGATAGAAACATAAACATTTTTGTGGTACATCACAATGCTTATGTCTCTGTAGGACAGTAGGGAAATTTGCTACAATATTATTTTTTTACCATTAATAAATGACCCCTTTATGTCATACCAGTAAATTGAAAATCAATAGGAGCACTAAACCATATCACAATGTCAAGTGAAAGGAGGAAAACTGCCCATTGTCCATTACAAGTATTTTTTTGGGTTTCCTACAGGATAAAATCAATTATCAAGCACCTGTAGAACAACCAAGACTTCTGTCTTTTTTTTAAAAAATTTTAGTAGTGATTTTTGGGGTCATCTGATGTTTCCTTTAGGTAAATTACGCAGCATTAGAACGATATAAGTGGATCATCCACAGGGTTCACTCTTATGGAATGAAGGTGATGCTGACTTTGTTTCATCACTCATTGCCACCATGGGCTGGAGATTATGGTGGATGGAAGCTGGAGAAAACTGTTGATTACTTCATGGATTTTACCAGGTAAATTCTTGTAATGTATTTTTGTTAAAAATTTAGTTCTCATACAATTCTTAATGCAACCTAGGGTGTTCTGATGACTGATTAGTTTCATTTCTGTTTTTCATTTTAAGCATACGTAGAACATAATGAACTGATTTTTATGCATGTAGTATGCTTTGTGCCTTATCAGCTAAAAGTTAAAACCTTAATGATAAAGATTTAAGGTAACTAACTGAAAAAGCATAGGAATTAAACATCAGTTGCTGACATTAGTAGGATTTTGACATCTAATTTGTGAAAGGAACATGAGGCAGTATTATTTAACTTCTTATCATGTGAGAGCTGCTTTGCAATTCAAATAAATTGAAGTTTCTGTCTGTCTTTTTGTAAATGACCATTTTTTTCCTACAAAATTTGTAATATTGTTTTGTGCTCGTTTCCTGCAGGCTGGTTGTTGACAGTGTATCAGATATGGTAGACTACTGGGTAACTTTCAATGAACCTCATGTCTTTTGTATGCTTACATATTGTGCTGGTGCTTGGCCTGGTGGTCATCCTGATATGCTAGAGGTCGCCACTTCTGCTCTACCAACTGGTGTTTTCAACCAGGCCATGCATTGGATGGCTATTGCACATTCAAAAGCTTATGACTATATCCATACGAAAAGGTATTCCTTTCACATCAAATATGTGGAGAGAGGATTTTTTCTAAATATCTTATGTTGTGTGATTCAAAGTATTGAAGATGTGTGCACACATTAGCACACATATGCATGTTGTCTTATTAAAACCTAACAGATTTTCTTCCTGATATGTAAATGGCATTTATGTGCTGTCTCTGATGCATAGTGTTTCTAATTTCTCTTCCATTTCAGCAGCATGCTGTCAAACAGAATAGTTGGGGTAGCACACCATGTATCATTTATGCGGCCATATGGTCTCTTTGATGTTGCAGCTGTTACGCTTGCCAATTCTCTTACCCTTTTCCCATACGTGGATAGTATCTGTGATAAGCTGGATTTTATAGGCATAAACTACTATGGACAGGTTTTGCTTCCTTCTTTCTTTCTTTCTTTTTTCTGTTTAATATTCTCTCTCCTATATTATTAATAGCTGGAATCACCAGTCTCCTACAAATATACACTGACATTATGATTCCATGGCCAGGAAGTGGCCTCTGGTGCTGGACTGAAGCTGGTGGAGACTGATGAGTATAGTGAATCTGGCCGAGGAGTTTATCCTGATGGCCTGTACAGGATGCTGATTTAGTTCCATGAAAGATACAAGCATCTTAATATACCTTTTATTATTACTGAGAATGGAGTTTCTGACGAGACAGATCTGATCCGTCGCCCATATATGCTGGAGCATTTACTTGCTATCTATGCTGCCATGACCATGGTTTGTGTGTAAATTTTAATTATTCTGAAACTTTGACTGTTCATAAATTAGTTAGTACATATCTACCAGCATCAGGTGTTACATCCTGCTATTGTCGAACATAGGGAGTCCCTGTGCTTGGTTACCTCTTTTGGACCATTTCTGATAATTGGGAGTGGGCTGATGGCTATGGCCCCAAGTTTGGACTTGTAGCTGTTGATCGTGCCAATAATCTTGGTCGAATCAAACGTCCTTCATACCACCTATTTTCCAAGGTTATTTTTCAAGTCCTGTATGGATCCTTGGTCTTCCCTGCCTGCAGATCTTGTATGCTTTTTATGTCAACTCTGGATGATTTCTTGGTTTCAGGTGGTAACCTCAGGTATTGTTAAACGTGAAGTAAGGGATCAGGCATGGAATGAACTTCAACAGGCTGCGAAAGAGAAGAAAACACGGCCCTTCTATCGAGCAGTTAATAAACATGGTTTAATGTATGCAGGTAATGGAAGCTGCCCTGTTTCCTTTGTTCCAAATTACCTACTAATCTCCTCACAAAATTTCATTCTTGGCAGTCATTCTTGTGTTGTTTGCATCCAAAGTTAAGATAATCTATGGTTAGCCAATTGGTGCTAAGTTGTAGGATCCCCCTCTCAGGGCTTGTTCTCTCTCAATGGTCAATTCTACGACCCTAAACAACCACAACTCATTATGGATATCTTTTTCAAAATAAGGCCAGACACAAGTTGGAATATACCTAGAGTTATTAAAAGGACTTTGTGGTAGACCACTAAGTTAAATCCATTCCATGCAATGCATGGAACTGCGACACATGTTTGCTTAAAGTCTCACTGTTTACTTAAAATTTCAAAATAGAAACTCATTGGGGTTGGCTCAAGTGGTTAAAGAGTCATTCCAACCATGCTGGAAATGCAGGTTCAAATGCCCCCATCCCTATTAGTGCAAACAATTTTAATGTGTCACCCCTACCTTTTTTTGAATGTGGAGTTTTACTCGATATTTGTAAATGGGGCAATTTGCAAGTATCTATGGGATTAGTTGGGCAAAAAGCCTGGATACCCATGTTATCAAAAAAAGGAAAAAAAAAAAAAAAAACAAATTAGCCCTAACTTTTACAAATGCTGGATTCTCACTATACATGGAGAACCTGACGTTGGTTGATGGTTAGTGTTGATGCATAGATGTTTTCCTATATTAGTGTCCAGTAATGACATACACATGATATTTAACTTCCATCTTTTGATAGGAGGCCTTGATAAACCCATACAGCGAACTTATATCGAAAGAGATTGGCGATTTGGACACTATGAGATGGAAGGTCTGCAGGATCCACTGAGCCGGTTATTGAGATGCATCCTTCGACCTATTACTCCCAAAAGAAAAAGAAAGTCTAAGAAAGTTGTTTCTGAATTGGTCCTTCAGCCTCTTAAATTCGATGTCTGACTGCTTGTTGAGACTGCCATTCACATACCTGGAAAGGATTCAGGTACTGGTAATACACATACTTAAGAGTCTTTTTTTTCTTGAAAATAGGTAATGGCACGAAATTAGAGTCTGATTGATTTGTTTTTCTCAGTGGTGCTGCCTGATTGCTATTTTTCTGTT